AAAACCACTGCAAAAGCGATGTTATTTGCGACGGTGTCCGTTATTATTATTTTTATTAAAAACTACAGATAGTGGCTCTAAGTCGTTCATTTATATATATATATATAGTATTACTTAATTATTTAATATAGGTAGGGAGACCGTCCGTCACTTTTAATAAAAAATATAAATATGTAAAAATTAATTAATTATGACACCGTGTGTCATTTTTAACTAATTTTAATTTATCAAAATTTTTAATATAAGAGACAGACGATGCTGCTTAGTCCGTCGCAATTTTGATCAAAATAGTGGTCAAATATTTTAATAAAGCAACATACAACGTCACTTAGTATGTCATTTTTTTAAAACTAGTTCTCGAACACAGGCGTTTCACGTGTATTCTATGCCAATTCGTACAAATTTCTTAAAATAATAGAGAAGAAAATCAAGAGATTGAGCGGCTGCCAGAATTTAAAAAATGACTAAGTAAAATAAGCCATATAATATAAATCAAATTTTGAAGATTGAAAACGCAAGCAAAGAACAACAAAGAACAAACGAGAACAAAAATTTTAAGAGCAAAACAAAGGTCTAAGAAATTAATATAAAAAAAATATAGTTTTGCTGGAGAAAGTGCTAATAATACATCAAATATTGAGTATTTTAAAAAAGAAAGCATACAATAATTTGATAATGACCCAAAGGCTAATACTATTGATTTTATAGAAGGTAAAAGAATATGAAAATTTCTTTTGACCGATGGAAGCTAAAAAGAAATAGAAAATAAGATTAATTTAAGATGATAATGAGTGAGTTAAAGGCACAAAATTAATGAATATTATTAGGATAAGTTATGAAAATGAAGAGGTGTAGTTATGAAGTTGATTTTAAATGAAAAAGAATTTAAAAAATAATAATTTTAAGAAAATAAATTAGTAGGTATGGGGTATTTTCGTTATCCAACTTTTGACTTAGATTTTCCCCACTTTTAATAATATATATGATATGATGATATGATGTTTGATCAAAATAGCGACGGACTTCACGATGTTGTCCGTTACTTTTATTAAAATATCTGGAGAACCAGATCTGATTTTTTTCATTTTCTCCCTTCCCTCTTTCTCTCTTCTCCTCTCTTCTTCTCTCTAAACTGCCACCAGACGCCGCTACCCTCCCCGCTGCTGCCGCCGCCCTCCCTGCTGTTGCCATTCTCGTAGGTCCTGGAGTTGCCGTTGACCTCCCTACTGTGCCGTGACCCCATTGCCCCTTCATCCTCTCTCTTCTCATTAAATTAAGGTTAGGGTTAGTATTTTTCAATTGAGTAATTTTTGATTTATTAGTTAGTTTATCCTATGTAGTTTATTGAATCTTTTGAAGTTGAAATTAGAATTTTTTTTTTGTTTGTATAAATTAGAACTTAGAACTTCATAGTTTCATGAATTTGAATTTTAGGATTTTGAACTTTAGTTATACTTGAAATTTGAAAATTTTGTACTCTAACTTAGAAAAATTCAACTTGAATGTCATGAACTTATAACTTAATTATAACTTGTAATTACAGCTTAGAACTTAATTATAACTTGAATTTAGAACTTAAACTTAGAACTTGAAATCTTGTTGAATTGTAGTCCTGATGAACTAATTACGCTAATTAGAGTTTAGAAATCTTGAATTGGATAGGATTTATTTGAAATTAAGTTGTGAACTTAATTTAGAAATTTTGTAATTGTTCTTGAATTTATGAAGTTAGGTTTGAACTTTAGAAATCCTGATAAATTGTAGTCTTTATGAAGTAATTAAGCTTAAACTTTAGAAATCTTAAATTAATGTAGAATTTATGAACTTAGGTGTTGAACGTTAGAAATTTTTGATGAAATGTAGTCTTTATGAACTAATTAAGTTTTAAACTTTAGAAATCTTGAATTGTAGAATTTATGAACTTAGGTTGTGAACTTTAGCAATCTTGATGAATTGTAGTCTTTATGATCAAATTAAGCTTAAACTTTAGAAATGTTGAATTATTAATTGTAGGATTTATATATGAACTTTAGAAATATATATTGAATTGTAGAATTTATAAACTTAGGTCGTGAACGTTAGAAATTTTGATGATATGTAGTGTTTATGAGCTAATTAAGTTTAAACTTTAGAAATCTTGAATTATTGTAAGATTTAGAACTTTATAAATTTTGAATTGTAGAATTTATGAACCTAGGTTGTGAACTTTAGTAATCTTGATGAATTGTAGTCTTTATGAACGAATTAAGCTTTAACTATAGAAATGTTGAATTATTAACTGTAGGATTTATCTATGAACTTTAAGTTGTGAACTTTAGAAATATATATTGAATTGTAGAATTTATGAACTTAGTTGGTAAACATTAGAAATCTTGATGAAATGTAGTGTTTATGAGCTAATGAAGCCTGAATTTTGTTGATCTTGAAATGTTGTATTTACGAACTTAGGTATATAAATTAACTAAATATATATAAGTAATTACAAATATAATTATTAAGTAATAATAAATATATATTGACAATATAAAATTAGTTTAATGTAGTTAAATTATTAATAAATTTAATTTATAATTGACAATATATATTTTTATCGATGTATCATCAGTTGTGGATGTATAACATGCATTATAAAACTGGTGTAGTGGTTTAAAACCTGAGTTTATTGACGATGTAAGAAGTTTTATTGATCATGCACTAACACTTGGTATTTTAAAGAATAATGGAATGATTAGATGCCCTTATAGTGCATATAGGTGCTTGAATTTTTTTAATTCAGATACACTTATGGTTCATTTGTGTCGTAATAGATTTACGCCTAGATATTTTGGATGGGTTGATCATGAAGAAATAGATGGATTGAATGACATGTTTTATAATTTGTTTCCCATGGATGGATATAGTATTCTTGCACCACATGGCCAAATTAGGGTTGAACATGATAGGGTTCCACATGATAGGGTTGAACATGATGCATTTCAACATGATAGGGTTCAACATGATGCATTTCAACATGATAGAGTTCATGAAATGGTCAATGATGCTTTTGGGATTCAAGGAGGGGTGAAACCCGAACAATATTTTGATGAAGCTCCTAATGAACAAGCAAGAAGTTTCTATGAACAATTAGAAGAGACTAGTTGTCCACTATGTGAAGGGGTCCGCATTCTGCCTTGTTAGTTGCTGTTAAATTAATGAATATTAAATTAGATTGGAGTGTTCCTCATATGACTATGGACTCAATTGTTGATCTTTTGAGTGAACTAGTTAATTCAGAGTTTAACTTACCTAAGAATTTCTATCAGACAAAGAGATTGATTTCCAAGTTAGGATTATCGTATGATAAAATTCATTGTCGTTTTAATAGTTGCATGATGCTATATAAATTTGATAGTGAATTAAAAAATAATTTTTTCAAGCTCGAATCTTGAATGTTGGTCTTTCAATTATTTTTTAGAAAGAATGTTGGTCTTTCTTCAACCAGGTTTTAACCCCAATGGGCAGGGTCTTCCTTTTCTTAAGAATAAAATAGTTAAAATGGGTTTGGCATTGACCACTGCCTTATTTTATTAGAAATAATTACAATAGGGTGGGGGGGGGGGACATAGAACAAAAAAAACCCCTAAGTAACACCAAAAATCTAGAAGAAATTACATATATAAAACTAGAGTAAATTTGCACATGATAAGGTTAAGAAGGTTAACAGGTGATCTTTGAAATAAAAAAAATATTTTTTATAAATATTTTTATAAGACTGTTCGTCATAAGTTAATTTGGACTACATATCAGTAAAAATTTTTGATTGGCTAAATTGAGCGAATTGCGTTTTCATGGATTACTTTTTGTATCCATATTTTGTCCTACACAATATCTATGAATAGTTCCTTAGGAAAGAAACATATTGTCCCAGGGAAAAAATCATGGTGGATTGAAGCACCATCCTGCTTTTAATCTTCTCAACAATCTTTCTGAGCTTCCGATGAGATTTTTGTTATGATTAAAATAATCAAATGTCAGGCGAAAACTAGCAAAGCAAATTTTTTCCTATAAGAGAAAGAACTAGTCAAATATGAAAAAATTGTGTTAGGAAAATTAGCTTGTAGATTCATTGGCTAAATGAAGTTCAGTAATAATCAGGAAGTCACTTTTTCTTCTCCCTTCAGTTTTGTGGTAGTCTACTAAAAGTTGCTTAAGGTGCTTGCGGGTTTAGTTGTATACTGAACAATTAAAAATATATAGAATGAGTACTGTATTTCTTTTTTCCTTTTAAAGTACAAAATATATTCTTTCTCATACTTCCTTCCTCCCATATTATTATTTTACATTACGTACTTAAAGCATTTGTCCTAAATTATTTGTCAATTTATAAAATCAAGATAGAATTACTTAAAATATTCATTTGCCCTTAAAATTAAGTATTGTTTGAATAAGACATAAATAGAATAATGTAAAAGAATTAAAGGATAAAGTTAGTAAATAATTTATTCTAAATCCTTAAATGGCTGGTAAAGGGAAAAGTATTCAAAGTAAATGAGAAGGAGGAAGTAGTATTTAGATTTGCATCACTAAATGTAGAATAAAATTTAATGTGAGAAATGTAGTCAAAGTATTTTAATTTGCATGACTAAAAGTAGAATAAAATTTAATGATAGTAAAATGAGGAATTTTTGCTTGTCTATTTAAGGAAGCAAATTGCTGGTTGAATCCCTCCTCATTTCTTTTCATGATTAGCCCTACTACTATGGATGGTTGTCTGGCTAATTCCCTTGAAGATATAGTGAAGGAGATTTTGTTGAGGTGACCTCGTTGTTGAGATTCAAATGTGTTTGTAAGAATTGGTGAACTCTTATCAAAACCCCTGAATTTGTTCAACAACACTTGAAAAATCATACCCCCCCCCCCAACAACTCTTGATTTATTATAATGGTGACATTGATGATGATGATGATGACGACCTTTCCATAACCTTTATTTCCGAAGAACATCCTCGAAGATTCATAGGTATGAAACAACTCTTCGGTTTTGTGGATGGCTTGTTTTTTATGGTTGGAGAAATTGATCGTGAGGTTTCATGTGCATTATGGAATCTTGCGACTAGGGAGGTGAAACCCCTCCATCTCCCTATCCCAGTAGCCACAATCCATGATTCCCTGGTGTTCGGGTTTGGATTGGACCCCTTGACTTATGACTATAAAGTGGTTTACTTTCACATTAATAATTTGTGTGAACATTATGCATCGGTCTACTCGTGTTCTAGGGACTTGTGGAGAATTTTCAAACCTAAAATCCCCTACTTTATAGACGTGAAACACACATTTGGTACTGCTTATTTGAATGGAACTTATTACTGGCTGCTAACTGGGGGCCGCCATAGTAATTACACCATTCTTTTGTTCGAATTTGGGAGTGAAATATTTAAAGAGATTGAAGGGCCAGGTCATCAATCTGTTGATACTAACATGTTGGGTTTGATGTCGGTTGATAGTTCCATAATTGCCATCTTGAACTTGAACCCGCATATTGTGTTTGCTTATGATATATGGGTAATGATTCAACCAGGTGTATGGAACAAACTTGTTACCTTTCAATGCTTCTTTAGGATTAAGTCTTGTTATGATAGCTCTCTCATTTTGGCAACGAAAGATTTTCAACTGGTCTCCTATGATGTTCGGACTAACAAGACGAGGCATCTTGGATTTCAACATCCGGGCTTGAGAAAAGATGCAGAGTATGATGGCGGTTGTGGAGTTTTTTATTATAAGGAGAGCTTAGTGAAAATTAAACAACGAGAGGATGAAGATCTGGACCATTAATCGATCTGTACTTTTAAATTTTGATACCATGCATGTTATTGTTATAAATTTATAATAGGTACTTTTATCGTTTCATTAATAATTTTGGATCAACATTTTCTTGCATTCCTTTTATGAAGTACTGGGGTTGAACCCGTCAAAAACTATATATGCAACTTTCTTTCCTTCAATTTGAGTATTTAAATTCTCATTAATTAATAACTCATTTAATTTTAGGTATATTTCTTCTAAACCTATAATTAAGAGAACCATTACTTGGCTAAAGCACAATTGCCTTTTGATTTTACACAGCCGGGAAAAAAACAATAACTCCTCTAATTTTAGGTATATTTCTTCTAAACCTATAATTAAGAGAACCATTACTTGGCTAAAGCACAATTGCCTTTTGATTTTACACAGCCGGGAAAAACAACAGGCTTTTAACTAATATCCCTTCAGTCTAGCGGCATTTTATTAATAATAAAATGAAATTCTCAACGTGGATAAGTACAAGCAAGGGTGGGGGGCGGGGGCGCTATAGGTCTTACCTTACCAATCCTAATGAGGTAACAAACCTCTACTAATTAACAAGAATGGAGAAAATAAGAACTAGAGAAAACTAAGTATTCTATAATCATCACAGAGTTTAATTTACACTCTATGACGATATGACCAATGAGGATACTTAAATAATGCAAAAATTCAAACGTCAAGAAGAAGGTTGAGTTATCAGCCTTAAACTTCCTTTATATATGTATGAACTAAAAAAGATAGTGTGCCCATCTAGAGTAACCTAAAGCGAGCTCTCTTCTAATATCGTATACATTAAAAAAATTTCTTATCAAAATATAGAGATGGAGAAGGTATGTGGTTATTCTATGATTGTTGATTTTTAAGAGTAAGAAACTAATTAAAAATAAGGCATAATTACATAAATTAAATCCTTAACTTGACTTCAAATTATAACTCTGACATTTAACTTCGTCAGTGCACAACTAGGCACTTTAACTATTCAAATCTTAAACAAAAAAACACTTGAACCCTACCAGGCAAAGTGCTGAAATACACCCAAGCTATGCGCGTCAAATGTAAATTTCAAGGCCCAGCAGTTCAACAATTTTTCCTCTTTTTTGCATTATTTGCTGCTCATTGCTAAATGCAAGTGGCATTTTTTTTTTTTTTTGTTATTGTGAAAAAAAACAATTATAAAGTAGTTCTTTTTTTTGCCTATATCTATTGTAAGCAATGTGGGGTGAGTATAGGGATGACAAATGGGGCGGGGCGGATGCGGGGTGGGGTGGGTTTAAGGCTATGTGGGGTGGGGCAGGTTTAAGGTTGTGTGGGGCGGGTCAGATGAGGGGCTGGTTAAAGTGAGTTTTTTTAAAAAATAATGTGGGGCGGGGCGGGTTGCAGGTATATATGATTTTATGTGGGTTCAAACTTAATTTTAACTTTTTACATGTTATAAGAGTGATAGAGCATTATTTATTTAGATAATTTCAGTAAAGCTACTAAAATATTCAAGATAATAAATGAAAATGGTTTAATAAAAAATAATACAACTTCTTACATGTTTCTCAATTGACCTCTAAAAATAAAATTTTAAGTACTATCCTATTAAATTAATACAACTTAATGAAAAATGAATTTATTTTTATGAATTTTATTTTTAGTATCATACATAACTAGAAAAAGAAAATATTAAACAAATTATGTGGGGCGGGTTGAAAATGAAAAGAGTTGTCATGCGGGGCGGGGCGGGGCAGATTAAAAATTTTGCGGGTTAAGCTCAACCTGCACCGCCCCCGCCTACACCTCCCCATTGCCATCCCTAGGTGAGTATACACTTATAAAAAACAAATGCGATTTAAGTTCGAAGACTCTCAATCAACGACTCCTATCCACACTTAGGGGACTTTTTACATTTTCCCTTAGGTATTGGATTGCTACTCAGACTTTGACAAATATCTCTCTGGAAATTTCATTTACAATTTATCAAATAGTGTAAGTGCACCATTTTATTTAGTAATTTTTAGCACTCTATGCTTATTGTTTGGCCTCCAAAAATTCGTAATTGTAATTTCCTACTCACTATGACAATCACAATACACAAAACATCCTTTTTTTTTCATCAAGTCTTTGACAACTTAAAGCACAAATACACTTCAAACTAAAGAAAACAAGGAAAAGTTCATTATGTCTTCCATATCTACAAGTTGTTTTGAAACAATTTTGCAACCAACACATTAGTTTCCTCTAGTGATTCCCTTATTGGCTTGAGCATCTGACCAACAATACACATTTTTTTTTGTATAGTGGTACCATTCAAGCATATGAAATCTCAGCACATATTTTGTACAATTTTTCCTTCGATTTGAAGACAAGGAGCATGGAATATAGAAACTTAGATTAGGGTTTATTTTCAGAAGAAAGAGGAGAAGTGCTAGTGATATTTATTTCCTAAAAATGAATTTGTTTTCACATTCACCTTATTCTATATTATAATTTGTTTTTATTATTTTCAAAAATCTACGTGTATTTATTTTAGTCAGTTGGCAGCAAATGAGTGGTTCACTTATCCATGTTGGAACATTTGTATATCATGCGTTTTGCATGAAATATTTGAGTGTTGTTTTGTTTATATTTTGGATAATTAAAGTGTATGTGCACTATCAAAGTTAAAGGTTAAAACTATAATTTGAAGCCAAGTTAAGGGTCATGTTTATTTATTATGCATAAAAATAATTATTCAGCCATAAAAAATTATCACCGATATTTATTATAAGGCCATAAAATTTCTTCCATCACACTTTCAAAATTAATCGTCGAAAGTTTTATGTGATCTCTACCGTTAGTAATCTGTATCGTCGTGTTACCCGAGTCAACCACATAGATATTTCATATCATGTGCGGTACCCAAGTCAATCGTCAGTATGTATCAGGTGTGGTACCCAAGCCAACCATGAGAATATCTAGTCATGCCATGCGTGGTATCCGAGCTAACCAACAATAACACATCACAATCACAATTAACAAAAATCACACTTGTACACCCAAGTAAAAAGATTGATTATTATATACGATTGACAACAATTAACATTTCAATTCATACTCATTTCATTTTGTAACATCCCGCCTTAGAAAGAGCTAAATTTAGAAAGAACTAATTTGGAAAGAGCCAACTTTAGAATTTAGCAAGTTATGCTTAAGTTGTGAGTTTGGGGTCAACTTCAAACGAACTTTCAGTATAGGATGAGTTAGGTGACCCATAAGATATCAAATGAAAGGTCTTTGAATCCTCTTACCAACGCCACCGAGTTTGTTAAATTTTGTGTTCGAATGAGGGAAATATGCATGTTTGAAGTCAGCCTGTCCAGTTAAGGAAATTCACCCGAATTAATGAGGGGTATTCTGGGGTTTCCTTACCCCATCAGCTTTAAACGTTTTTAGTAATATTTTAGGGATCTAAACTGATTTGGTTCAGTTTTCACAATCTTAAAATACGCTTAGGGTTTTGAGAGGAGTTCAAGAAGAAGAGAATAGAAGAAAAAGAAGAACGATCAAGGTTCTTGCGAACCGAGGATTTTTTTCTCCAAATTAAGGCATATAAGCTCTCATAGTGTTAGGTTCTTTCACCCACACGCCAATCATGTGATTTTAAATCCATAATTTCGTTCTTGCGGTTGAATGATTTGAGTTCTTGATAAGTTTCTTGAAGTTTCGTTCTTAAATCGTTAATGATGAGTTTGATGAGTTCTTGAGATGAATGTTAGAAGTTTGACAGTTTTTTTTAGTAGATTTTCGTGTACTTATGTTGGGTATGCAAATCTAAGTGAGTTGGGAAGAAACCATTTGATTCTAGGCGAATTATGGCAAAAGTTCGAAGAAGAAAATTCGTCGGAATGTTCTGGGGAGGAGCTAGGGCGGCGCACCCCAGATGCACTAGGGGGACTAGGGAGGCGTGCCAGCAGTGTGCCAAGAATGAGTCTCTGAAGTTTATTCTAACTACTCTAAAATACATCTAAACATCGAGAGATTCTTCATAACATGAATCATAACCCTTGAATTCATAATTCAAATTTAAGGTAGAG